ACACATGATATGAGGTTTTAAATCTGACTGTTTTTATACGTGTTATTTAATTAGTGTTTTGGGGTTATTTATAATCAAGCTAAGAATATGAGGTTTTTATCACAAGATCCGCGCTTTTATGAGCTTTCGAACGGTACTAAAAAGTCAAAACGACCAAATATGGCACATACAAGTGATCACCCACGATATTCTGTTTTTATCACAAGATCCGCGCTTTTATGAGCTTTCGAACGGTACTAAAAAGTCAAAACGACCAAATATGGCACATACTAGTGATCACCCACGATATTCTGTTTTCGAAGTATTCGATTGAGGTCAGAATTGGAACAGATGGAATCAAGCTGTTTGAAAACAATAAATTTTTATGCGTAAAGCCAACGTTAACTAGAAGTCCATTAGGGATAGATATTTATTTGTATTTTTGTAGGTGGTATAAATGAAAAAGAGTTTGCTAGAAGATTATGGGGCGACATGTATTTTAACAGTAAAACGTAAGTAAATCCTGAAACATGGTGAAATTTTATATCAACTAGTTGGTCTTACTAGCATTATGGGTGTGTAAACGCAATTGATCACGTGACAAACTGAATAAATGACGAAGTCAATAGCGTTTACACACCAATAATGCTAGTCAGACCAACATTTAATTCTTATATTTATATTCAGATACTTTTATTAATACAATTTTCACTGTTTTATATGATCAGTTATTTGAATTTACCACAAATCTTAGATTACGTCATTGTTGTGTTTTGATGATGTCATAGTATCACGTGATAAACTACAGTTTATAGAAAAATAAACACCAGTTTGTGTAACTGGTTCATTGAAGAGAGTGATAATAGAAATGGAAATATAATAAAATAGTTTATAATGAAATATTAAAAAAAAAAAACTTACCAAACTCTGGCCAGTGCTTCCTTCCAATCAAATTCTTCATTTCGTGCTGCCGAGTTAGAATCAAAGTTCCTGGAAATAGAAAAATAATAATTCAATACTTTTACAGGAGGAAATTCACGAAGAAGGCGCCTAGTAATACAGCCCAGCGGAGTTTCGTCGAGTTTATTTTGGAACCATTATATAAGATCTTCGCACAAGTACGTTTTTGATTTTTATACTTAAAGGGACAGGCGCACCATTTTTTAGTTTAATTTGACTACTAGAAATGTACGAAAATCACATAATTCCTTTAAATATATCTCAAACTAGGAATTTCACTTTCGTTGCCATTTTGGAGGGTTGATTTGAGTCTTGAATATATGTAAATAGTCTTCAGAAGTACTAGAAATGTACCAAAAATTACATAATTCCTTCAAAAATACATCAATACACTATACATGGTCCTTGGCTTGGTTGATTTGAGTGTTGAATATATGTAAATAGTCTTCAGAAATACTAGAAATGTACAAAAATCACATAATTCCTTTAAAAATATCTCATACTAGGAATTTTACTCACTATTTCTATAGATGTCTTTTCTATATAAGGCAGTGTCTCAAGAAAAGACAAGTCGTCATTTTAACATTCAAACGTGGATAATTCTGGACACACATGGATTTGAAGGCTCAAATTTTGACAGTGAGCTGTGAACACTATTACTGATTGGCTTAGCTAGAAAATGAGAGGTGTCGATATCTATCTAGCCTTATTTCCCTTGTTTCTATTTATAGATTGTAGGAGATGTCGATACATGTATACCTCAAGTTTGTGATGAGTTAGGAATCCATCTTGGTAAAGAAGAACAGAAGTTAAATATTAAACCATTACTACGATTAGTTTGTAGTCGTTTCTTCGGCTCTTTTACTGGTACGTAACATTACAAAAGGTTTTCTTCAATTTATACCATTTTAATTTTCAATCAGACGTCTGTGGTTCTTGTTAAAGAGATTGTAAAGAGGTTTTCTAAATTTTTTATGTGTATCAGGGACACTGATAGCATCAATTTACACCATTCTAATTTTCAATCAGATGTCTGTGGTTCCTGCAATTCCACTAAAACTAAGTGTTTGATGACGTCCCTAAACACAAAGGAACCCTTTTCCATTTAATTCCCTGATTCCCAAACGAGCAGACGTCACTAATCAAGCGCCACCTATAATTGTGTACCAATTATGCTGTTCAATTTGCCCAGGTTTTGTTGCTATCTTTTGGGGTGTCTATGGAACGCATTTTGAAACATTCTGATGCCCCTGCCAGTGCCTTCAATTCTATATAATAATGTACTTATGGTATTGATTTATCGCAGGTTTTGTTGATATGTGTATAGAACACGTCCCCTCCCCACAAGATAACGGTAAAACCAAGATAGAACATCTTTATACTGGTCCGTCTGATTCTGAATTAGCTGAGGAGATGTTTAACTGTGATCCAGAGGCAAGTTTTGAACTTTTTATTTTCTTTAAAAAAAACTTTCAGGTCTTCTCAGAGATTCGAATTCTGGACTGTTTGCACCCATTTCAAACTCAATTTCATTTCATTTTACCGTAAATTTCAGGGCCCTCTAATGATATACACAACAAAACTCTACCCCACAAACAATGCTACGTGTTTGGGCGTGTTATGAGTATATCCAAGGCTTGTTCTAATGATATTATTTTTAACCAATCAAAGCTTGTCATGTAGATCTGTTCGTTGATATTATAAGGAATTGTGGGATAGCGAAACCCAAAGTAGAGCAATATAACTGTTTCTTTTGGTTTTGCTCAGTAAATTAGATGCTTACGTCATTTGCTTGGTTACATCGAGCAAATGGTGGCTGTGGGTTCCGTTCTTGATCA